GCCCCGCTTTAGGTGAGCTGAAGCCCTGCTTCACATAAAAAACACAAGCCCCAGTTTGGGTGAGTCCTGTTTCTCTCTCTCTCTCCTTCTCTGTCTCTCTCTACCCCTAGTGGGATTCTCTCTCTCTCTCTCTCTCTCTCTCTCTCTCTCACTTTCTCTTACTCTCTCCCCTCACTGACTTGCATCCTTTCTCTCTCAAAAGAAAAAAAAAAAAAGAAAAAGAAAAGAAAGAAAGAAAAAAAAGAGCTTGCAAACTCTGTCAGTTACCTACTGATGCGTAACAAACCACTCTAAAACTTAGTGGTTCAAACCAACAACTGTTGTATTTGCTTACAATTCATTGAGATGGCTCTGCAGGGTTTGGGGGGGATGGTTAGCCTCAGCTCCACAAGCTGGGGCAGTTCATCAGGGGCTGACAGAACTATTATGGCTTCACATCTATATCTGTCACCCTCTGTCTGGCGTCTCTGTCCGCCTCACTCTTAAGATAGCCATATTTCTTTGCACTCAGGGCTCTGAGAAGGCAGAAGTGGAAGCTATTGTCTCCTAAGGCTTAGATTCTAAATTAGGGTAATTCACTTCTGTCACATTTATTGTCAAGGTGAGTCACAGTTAATTTATTCAGTCATTATTATTTGAGAATTTACTGTGTATTAGGCACTGTTCGGGGTTCTGGCAATTAGAAGAGGAACAGAACACAAAACACAAGAGATAAAGTCTCCGTCCCCACAGACTTTCTGTTAAGTAGAGACTCTGTACTCACCCACATGTTGAGCAGGTCTGAGGTCTTGATTTCTGATGGGTGACTTTCTCCCCATTCATAATAGATAGGGTTTTTCTAGACTCCCTTAATTAGAGAGGACTATTCTTTCAGGTACCAGGTTCCAATTCCAGCTCCTCTCCTTGGATTGTCGATGGCTGCCTTCTCCCTGTGCCCTCACGTAGTCATCCGTCTGCATGTGTCTGTGTCCTAATCTCCTCTTCTTATAAGGACCCAGGTCATATTGGATTAGTGCCTACTCTAATAACCTACTTTTACAGGTTTACAAAACCCAATTTTGACTGGCTCAGTCAGTAGACCATACAACTCTTGATCTCAGGATCGTGACTTTGAGCCCCATGAGCCCCGTGTTGGGTGTAGAATTTACTTAAAAAAACAACAACCCTATTTTACTTAGTTTTCTCTTTAAAGGCCTGCTTTCCAAAAGCAATCACATTCTGAAGTACTGGGCATTAGAGGTCAACATATGAATTTTGGGGGACACGATTCAGTACCCATAGCAGGAGGGAGCTCCTGTGTCCTGCTTTTTGGAACAAAGAGGCCTGGAGTAGAGAAAGCTCCCCAGAGAAGTTCTAGGGGCACCGCAAACTAGAAGAGCCTTAAGTCCTTCATTGCAGAGCTCAGAAAAGTTGCAGGTCCCTAAAAAGGAAATGACTCGGTGGTGTCTCTGGGCAGTTGAAGCCACAGACAGCCTCAAAGAGCTTCCGGTGCCTCCACCTGGCTGAAAATCAGCCTCGTGAGCAAGGCTCAGGAGCAGCAGAGAATGCACCAGGCTTGATGGGTCACAAGCATGAAAATGGAGGGCTGATGGGTAAGAAGCAGACTGACAGTGGGCACCTGCGTGGGCAGGTGAGAATCAGATGGATCCCTCCATCACCCTTAAAGCTGAGGCATTGGCTAAGCTCCCTGAAAATTTTGCAGTCTTGGGAAAGGAGCATGTGAGAAGGATGGTTCTCAACTGACTGATAGTTTCCAGCATCCTGGTGCAAAGGGATCTTTGCACAGATTAAGTTTGCATTAGGAATAGAAAGAGAGTTACATTATCTGCCTTCCTTGCAAATTGTGACTTATATATGCTACACATGTGTTGTAGTTTGGGATCCCATAGAGGCAGACCCTGATAAAAAGATTTGGAGTCATACTTTTCCTCCAGAAGGCATAAAGCCACGCTGACACATTGGTTTCAGTCCTGTAAGACTCATTTCTAACTTCTGACTTCTAGAGCTAAAAGATCATCAATCGTACCAGTTTAAGCGGCAGCAGCAGGAAGTGAATAATAACACGATGAACCCTCACTCTTCTTGAAACTCGTGGTCATCTCAGGCTGTCATTTATTTTCCCACCTTCATCTCTCTGTGCTTCGATTTCCCCACAAGATGGGTGTTACAACACTACCCACCCCACGGTCATTATGAGGATTGGGTGAGTGACTGTGAATTAATGCACTTAGCGCAGCATCTGGCAGTCAGGAGGACATTAGAAGTATGACCTGTGATTGATTATTCTTATTACTTTAAGAGAAACAACCAACCACACAAACACGATTCTGAAGGGCAACTGACCTTCAGCCTCTGTATGGGAGACAACAAGGAGTGAGGTAGCCTGGTGAGGTGGTGACCCCATGCCCCATCAACAGGGGCAGCCGCTGCCCAGCCTGGGTTGTGTTCACAGCTTCCAAATTTCCAAGAAAGTCCAGAAATTCAGATTTGTCCACACACAACATTTTGTTGTGTTTAAATATTGGCTACTAATTTCCATTTTAAAAACACACCCAGTGACTAGATGTGGCCTGTGGATGTAAGGTCACCTTTCATGTAATCACTGAAAAGAATTCCAACTTTAAATGTATTACATTAATACAAATGTATTACATTGAAAAGAATTCAGACTTAAATGATCACAGCTATGCTTACAAAAAGAATATCTACTGGAGATTAAAGAGCTCACTGTGGGCCAAGCTCTGGAAAACTACTTAAACACTCAAGTAATTTCATCTCACAATAACCAAGGTAGGGTAGATGCCACTATTAAACTCTTTTACAGATGAGGACACTGAGGCCCAGAGAGGCCAAGGATGGATCCTGAGATCACCCAGCTGGGAAGTAGCAGAGTGGAGATTTAAACCCTGATGGTCTGGCTTCCCATTCTGTTTCTCAGAGTCAATGCATTCCAGTATTTGAACACAGTGATATTTAGTAGGATGGACACAGCATTATAATGTGAGGTTAATAAATGATTTATCATGATTATTTTTACTTCTACCACCTCTGAGTCTTGGCAAGAGATGAAGGGAGAGCTTTCCAGGGGCTGGGGGAGGGCAAGAATGCAGACTTCAGGTCTGGAGGAAGAGCTGACTGTGGGGGAAGGTGATACCTGAACAGATGCCAAGCATGGGAGGTGAAAGCGGAAATCAAATAGATAAACTTCTCAGAAGTTGTAAAGTAGGTCAGTGGCCTGGATGGGGGGCTTCCCACCCCACGCACTATCTGAAATCAAGCTGGGGTCTAGGTCTCCTAGAGCACCAGCCTCGATGCCTGCCTGTGGGGCTCTCTGCGCCTCCTCCCTCCTTCCTCCCTTGTCTTTCCCTCCCCTCCCCTCCCCTCCATCTCTTTCCATCTCCCTCCTACCCTACCCATTCTCTTACCCACCCTCTCTTCTTCCACTTGCTCCTCTACCTCAGGGCTGGAGGCCCCTCCCAGGAATGATCTTTGGAGGCTAAACTTAGTGACAGGTTCCATCCCCAGGCGGAAGTTGGTGGCTGCTGTAGGCTTTGTAAATACCTTGTCCCCACACCTTGGTCTCATCAAAGCCACGGAAACAGAAAAATGGTGATAAGAGTAAAGGAAACTCCAGTGGGGGCTGGGGCTGGGCATTAGGGGCTGCCCCACCTCCCACCAGCCCTCAAAGGCAGAGAGGTGTGAAGTCGTGTGCCCTTGGTAGCAATGGAGGGGGAGTCCAGCATTCCTGCCTCTAAGAATGGAACATGGGAGCAGCCATGCCCAGATATGTGTATGAGGCATGTAAGGATGCAACTCATTACAAGATGCCTGACATAGGGAATGTGCCTCACAAATGCTACAATGGCTTTTTCTGTGTCTGAACTGATTCCATCCTTAAAACAGACCTATAGGCAAGAACCAGTGTTACCTCCCATTTTACAGATGAGGAAACCTAGGCACCGAGAGGTGCTGGGACTTGCTCAAGGTCACACAGAAGCAAGTGGCAGAGTGGAATTGGAACCCAGGACCATCTGCCTGCAAAGCCAGTTTCCCTCCCTCCCCATTCTGGGCAGCGATGACAACAGTATAAACACCAACAACAATAATCATCTACTTCTGGGGTCTGAGCCCTTGACTTTGGGTCCTGGGCACTAACAGCTCCCTCCAGCCACACCAGGGCACATGCTCATTTGTACGGACTGTCTGATTTGTATGCATATTATTATCTGTCCCTCTCTCCTCACTCTTCTCATGCTCTCACTTAGTTCAAGCTTTCAGCTGGCTGAGTAGACCGTCACTCTGCGTGGATGTCTGCAATCAGGGTGCTTGGTGGGCGCAGCCTCCATTTCATCAGAAATGGGAGATTTGAGGGGGAGGGGCAGACCTGGACATGAGGCTCCCAATTTCTCCTGCCCTTCCCCCGAGCTTGCTACATGGAGTTGGGCCAGCCACGTTCAGTTTACTTATCTGTAGAGTGACCAGGTGACTCTGTCTACCCCTCTGCCTCTACAAGCCACCCTTCCCCTGAGAATAGACAGACCCAGGTGCAACATTTGCTATTTATTTCCAAGACCCACGGTCAGGGAGCCCAGGGCTTCAGACAGTGTCTGGTCCTCATCCAGGATGTATTCGTCTTGGCTGGGAGGAGCCTCAGGCTGTGTGTGTTTGTGTGTGATGTCGTGTGTGTGTGATGGGTGTGACCATGATGCAGCATGTGGAAATCTGATGTGATATGGGCATGGCGTTCCACGTGTCACAACTGGTGTGACCGCATGGCCCCTTTGGGTCACTGTGGCTGTGATGATAACTTGTGTGTGATTGTGTCATATGTAGTGGTCACATAATGTGACTTGGTTGTGGAGAATGTGATGCTTTGTGTGTATGAGTGCAGGTGTGAAGGACACATGGAGGCTTGTGATTTTCTGTGATGCTGTAGGCGTGTCTGCGTTCTCTCTCCATCTTCCCTTCCCTTCTTCCTTCCCCTCCTCCCTCATTTCCTTCCTTCCCTCCTCCCTTCCTCCCTTTCCTTCTCTCTGCAAACATTTTCCAAGTGCCTGCCACAAGCCAGGCCCCGACCTGGGTGCTGAAACACAGCCGTGGTGTCCTGGTGGGATGTGAATGCTCAGCTGCGCTGAGGTCCAGTCAGCCGGATGCTGATCCGTTGGTAGCCAGAAACCAGCCGTGATGGGAATATTTACATCGAGGAAATCACAGACACTACAGAGCCTCCCCCCTCCTGGGAGAGCTGGTGGCCCCGGCGGTTGCCGCACATCCCTGCGCGTGTCTCAGGGTCTTACGCAGCCAGGAGGAGGTGGAGCTGCACACCTGTGAGCAGGTCTCCTGTGTGTGACTGTGGCTGTGGGTGGGACTGGCTGGGCTGCCCGTGGGTCCTGGTGATGACGACTCCCTTCCTCCAACCACCCACACTGGTGAGAGTGGGGGAGGCTGAGGTTGTCTGACCTCTGGCCACGTCCTTGGACCCCCAAGTCTTACTCTTCTCTGAGTCAAAAAGATAAATACCCACCCCTCACCCCTTCTTCCTGAATATCAGGCAGATCAGCTTTCCCCCGCTTGGGGGTCTGCAGACCCTTGGTCTCTGGGTCTTGGCCTTCAGTATTGCCCGCGGCGGGGTCTGCGGTTTCCTTTGGTGCCTCAGAGGTGCCTGCTGGGTCTTCAGCCTTCGGGGGCGGCTGGCTTGTCGGCCCCGGGTGTGCCCGCTGAGCTCTTTGCTTGCTGGGTTCTGGGTTCCCCAGGGCACCCTCTGAGGGGAGGCGTCACCGTCACTCCTTCCTTTTACACCATGAAAGCCCCGAAGTAGGAGCGGGTCCCGTCACGGAGCCGGACCAGGCGCTCATCCGGCACCCGCACGACCACCTCCTCCCCCGCGTCCAGGTGCACCACCCCGCCCAGGAAGCTGCTGTCCCACCAGACGCGGGGGCCGGTCGCTCGCCCGCAGGGTGACCGCCGGCTCACCAGCAGCTCCAGCTCCTCGGGGTAGCGCGGGGTGCGTTTGTAGAGGCCGTGAGTGATGGGCAGGCCGCTGGTGAGGCCCTGCGGGCAGCCCACGCCCCCCAGCTGCACCTTGGAGTAGATGTAGTAGTAGCCGGCCTGGGCAATCACCAGGGAGCCGTCCCGGTAGCTGAGGCCCCTCAAGAAGGCCAAGCCCAGCTTGGTCTCCCAGAGCAGCGGCCCCCCGCTGCCCGTCAGGCTGGAGTTGGCACCTGGGGACGGAGACAGAGGGGTCTGGTCAGTATGTGTCCCTCTGCGGGTGGGAGAGGGTGACGACTCCTCTCTGTTTTAGGTTGAGAACTTGATACATATTTTTTTTTTTTTATTTCTAGGAGAGAGAGAGAGACAGCGTGAGCAGGGGAGGGCCAGAGAGAGAGAGAGTCACAGACTGAAACAGGCTCCAGGCTCTGAGCTGGCAGTCAGCACAGAGCCCGATGCGGGGCCCGAACCCACGGACCGCGAGATCATGGCCCAAGCGAAAGTCGGACGCTTAACCGACTACGCCACCCAGGCGCCCCAGAGAACTTGATACATATTAATTCACTTTATTCTCACTTTGGGGTTGGGGGGGGGACTGAGGCACTGAGAAGTCAAGTCACTTGCTGCTTATACGTTTTAAATCACTTTTCTCCCCCTTCCCTTGCAGGAGGGGAAACCGAGGCATGGAGCCATTAAGTGACCCGCCCAAAGCATCAAAACTGGTGAGCGGAAGAGCCAAGGAATAGAGACCCAGCAGAGCCCGGTCCAGAAGCCTTAGAATCTCCATGCTCCTCAGTTTTTCTCTCAGTAAAATGGACATGTGAATGGTGCCTCCTTAAGATTTAATGAATTAAGGGGCACCTGGGTGGCTCAGTCGGTTAAGCGTCTCATGGTTGGTGAGTTTGAGCCCCACATCGGGCTCTGTGCTGACCCCTCAGAGCCTGGAGCCTGCTTCAGATTCTGTGTCTCCCTCTCTCTCTGGCCCTTCTCTGCTCATGCTCTCTCTCTTTCTCTCTCTCTCTCTCTATTTCTCAGGAATAAACAAATAAATAAACATTTTAAATAAAAAAAATTTAATGAATTAATATGTATAGAGCGCGTGACACATGGTGAGCACCTTGTAAGGGGTTATTCAATAATATGAGAAATGCACCGACATAGGTAGTGGGCCAAGACTGTCAACAGTGAGTGGGTGACTGAATGAATACTCGGACATGCTGGATATCTGTCTGGTCTCCCCAGGACACCCTGCCCCTCTCCCATGCTAGGACCCGGGGTCCCCCTCACCTGTGAGGTGTGCTGCTGGGTTGGCCTGGTGGGACCTTCGTTCTGGAGAGAGAGGGTGAGTGGTTAGAGGTGGAGGCGGTGAGGGGTGAGGGCCAGCCTCCAGCCAGGGTCATCAAGGCTACCTCCTGGTGTCAACCCCACCCTTTCCGGAATGCCCCAGACTTCTGCTTCTCAGGCTCAGGGGAGGGGCACCTGTGGAGCTCGGGCCAGTTGTGTAAATCACATTGGGCAACGGGCTGAGGAGGCGGGGGCAGCGTGGGAACCATCCCACCTCCACCCTCCCCGGGACCCAGGACTCTGACTCACCTTCTGTCAGCTGCTTCCAGGATTCTGCTTCTCCATCCTGCAAATGCAAAGGAACCCACGGTGAGGACCTGCGTGCCCCACACATGGGCATCCTCAGACTCACAGCTGTGAGACACACACGGACCACAGACACCGCCCTCCCAAGAGCGCCCAGGGCCATGTGCACACACACCCCTGCCCCACCCAGCAGACTGGTAACCACCCGGGGCCTCATTTTCCCCCTCTTCAAATAGACATGTGAATGGTGCCTATTTAAGATTCAGAGAATTCATGAGTATAAAAGCATGTTCCGGCACCTGGCACACGGTAAGCAGGATATAAGGGTTAATGAAGTAAGTAATATTTACAGATGTGTAGACATCAAGATGGCAGGACACGTGGACATCAATGGCAACAAGTGGATATGGACACGTGACAGGGCCTGGACACTAATGTGACACACGGGCAAGGCCCACGTGGACACAGATATGTGGGTATGTGGCTTACGGATCCACGTGTGTCTGTGCACAGTGCCAGCACAGGGGCTGCAGACAGGCCAGTACGTGGGCATGTGGAGACACGTACGCAGGATGACAGTTCAGGTTCACCCGGACGACACGCCCAGGCGGCCATCAGGTTCAGTCACAAGGAGAAATGACTTGGAAACACAGGACATGAAGGGCCAAGAGCACATGGCCGTGGGTGGGATGCGGAGGCTCACAGGTGTGGCAAACAGACAGATACACCCACAGCCGACCGTAAACTGAGGCAGAGAGAGATGCTCGCAGACTTGGACAAAGTGAATTAGCGACAGTCCCGAATAATGGTGATCAGGGTATGGCTAACAATAATCAGCAATGTCAGAACGTCCGTTCTGGGGGTTACAGACGAGGCTGTATTATAAAAGTGAAAATTGTGAAGAGACTTGGTTTTATTTGTTCCCACTGCTAGAAAAAATGGTAGCTGTGTGACCCCACAGCACTGTTAATGCTGCGATTTTTGGCAATCATATTGCAATATAAATGTGTCAAATCACTATGCTGTACACCTTAAACTGACAGAATGTTACATGTCATTTATACCTCAATTAAAAAACATATCCGTGGGGCGCCTGGGTGGCTTAGTCAGTTAAGCGTCCGACTTTCGCTTAGGTCATGATCTCGCGGTTCATGGGTTCGAGCCCCGCGTCAGGCTCTGTGCTAACTGCCAGCTCAGAGCCTGGAGCCTGTTTCAGAGTCTGTGACTCCCTCTCTCTCTGACCCTCCCCTGCTCACGCTGTCTCTCTCTCTCTCTTGGAAATAAATAAAACATTAAAAAAAAAATTAAAAAACATATCCGTTCCGGTTGGGTGAACTCTTCCCTTGTGCAGTCACCGCTGGGCACCACACACACAGTGTCATATTTCCTTCCCTGTGAGGTGGCACTCTTATTATCACACCCATTTTACAGATGAGGAAACTGAGGTTCAGAGAAGTGAACTGACTTGCACTGAGCTACTGTAAGTCGTTTATTGTGCTGCACTCACGCGCACAGAGACATGCACAGTAACACAGGAGACCCACCAGCCATGAGCCCCGAGGCCCCACTCACCAGCAGGGGTGTGACCGTCTCCCCCAGGCGCCAGTGCAGCCGTAGCAGGAACCAGCCCTGGACGGCCAGCCCAGCCGCCAGCAACAGCAGCACAAGGCCCAGGCCCAGCTGCGCTGCAGTGCAGGGCGGTCTTCGGCGGCGGCTGTGCCCCAGCCTCGTGAATGGGATGTCTGTCTGTCCGTCCACCACAAACACTGAGGGCCGCACAACCGTCTCCTCCATGCCTGAGCAGACGAGGTCTCGAGGCGCCTCGGGGCTGGGCTAGCACGGCTGGTCCCTGAGGGCAGGGAGGAAACCACAATTGCCCAACGCTCCTGGGCTTCGCACGCTGCAGACAGGCACCCGCGGGTCCTGGGGTTCAGCCTTTAGAGCAGGGATTCAGCCCCTCCCCTTTCCCCACTGGCCCTCCTCTTCTTCCTGTCCCCCCACCCCCAGGCTGGCCCCATCTCACTCTCACTCATACAGCCTCTCACACTTTCCAGGGGCATTTGAAGATGTGACTCAGGTAGGGATGGAGGGGGGAAGGCCCCAGCTTTTCCCTGTGGCTGCTTCATTCACTCCATGACCAAATATTTACAGATCATCTCTGTGTGCCAGGCACTGTTCTAGGTTTGAGGCCACAGCGTGAACAAGAGAGACAAATGTCCCTGGTCTTAAGGGGCTCATGTTCTAATGAGGTGAGAGACGAGGAGCCCAGTAAAGAAGAAAATACCATATAGGGTTTGAGATGGTGGTTAGGGAAGTGCAAGATACAGGAGTGCTTTGTGTGTGTGTGTGTGTGTGTGTGTGTGTCCATGTGTGTATACTGGGTCTAGTGTGTGTGTGCGCATGCGTATGCTCTGTGTACATGTGCATGGAGATGTGTGCAGGTGCAGGCATGTGTGTATGTGCACCTATGCACACATGCGGGTGTGTGTAGGTGTGTGCATGTGGGTGCATGTACATGAGTGGGGTGCATGAGTGTGCACGCACGTGGGCATGTGAAGGTGTGTGCATGTAGGTGCATGTGTGTGGTATGCATGAGTGTGCACGCACGTGGGTGTGTGCATGTAGGTGCGCGTAAGTGTGCATGCATGTGGGTGTGTGCATGCAGGTTCATGTGCATCGGTGTGTGAATGTGTGGTGTGCATGAGTGTGTGCAGGCGTGCACATGTAGGTGCGTGTGTGCATGAGTGTGCAGGTGTGTACACGCAGGTGTGTGGTGTGCATGAGTGTGTGCAGGTGTGTACAGGTGTGTGCGTGCAGGTGTGGATGTGTGGTGTACATGAGTGTGCATGCATGCAGGTGTGTGCAGGTGCAGACACACACACACCTGCATGTGTGGATGTGTGTGCGTGTGGATGAGTGTGCCTGTGAGTGTGTGTGTGTGCACGCACGCATGCAAGTTTAAATTGGAACTCAGTCAGGTGATGGAACCACCAGCCTCTAGGCTAACTAGGTTAAGTCCAAACTTGGAAGGTGTCCTGGGGGCACCCGGAAGTGGCCTGAGCAGCCCTCTCTTTTTCTTCTCGCTCACATCCCACCTTTCAGCAAGCCCTGGAGATTCAATCCCAAAGTCAGATCTTACCCCAGCCACCTGTTTCCATACCCACTGCTACCACTCCCCCCGTTCAGTTGGTGATGTCCTAATCACCTGTGTGACGTATTTGTAGGTGGAGCCTTGGGAAGGAGGTTAGATCACAAGGGTGGAGTCTTCCTGAATCGGATGAGTGCCCCTAAGTGGTGGATATAATCTCTCTGTCTCTCTGTCTCTCTTTTTTTTCCCTCTCTCTCCCTCTCTTTCTCTGCCACTTGAAGATGTTTGAGGACCCAGTGAAAGGGCCACTGTGTCTGCAAGCCAGGAAGAGAGCCCTCACCAGAACCCGACCAAACTGGCACCTTGGTCTCAGACTTCCAGCATCCAGAACTGTGAGAAATACATGTCAGCTGTTTGGGGTCCCCGCGTAGGGCGTCTTTTCTCTTCCCTCCCCTTCCCTTCCCTTCCCTTCCTTCCCTTCCCTTCCCTTCCCTTCCCTTCCCTTCCTTTCTCCTTTCCTTTCTTTTCCGTTCCTTTCCGTTCCTTTCCTTTCCTTTCCTTTCCTTTCCTTTCCTTTCCTTTCCTTTACTTTCCTGGGTGAAATTCACATAACATAAAACCAACCATCTTAAAGTGGGCAGTTCAGTGGCATTTAGGACATTTCCAAAGTCAGACAACTCTGTATGGTCCCCAGACATTTTCAGGACCTCAAAAGGTAAGCCCATACCCATAAAGCAGTTCCCATCCCCCAGGCTTCCCAGCCCATGGCAACTACTATCTGGCCCTTTATAGAAAAAGTTTGGCATTCCCTTGAGCTTAGAGTAGACACTAAGTGGTCTTCACTATCTTAAAGTCCATACGCCAATGCTTACTTGGCCAGGGGTCTTGGGGCCTTTGCGCATACTCTTTCCTTCATCTGGAAGAGTCTTTTCCAGATCTTCCACTGCTGACTCCTCCTTGTCATCCGTGTATTAAGAATACCTCATCATGATAGCTTTCTTTGTATTCCCCAATCATCTGCATTAGTCAGGGCTCTCCAGAGAAAGAGAACCAGTAATATATCTCCATCTCTATCCATCTGATGATCCATCAATCCATCCATCCTTCCATCCATCCATCCACTTGGCCACACATCCATCCATCAATCTATCTACAACTTATTATCTATCATCTATCTCTGCGTCTATGTATCTATCATCTATCTGTCTGCTCTCTCTCTCTCTCTCTCACACACACACACACACAATTTTTAAAAAATTTTTTTTTAATGTTTTATTTATTTCTAGGAGAGAGAGAGAGACAGCGTGAGCAGGGGAAGGTCAGAGAGAGAGGGAGTCACAGACTCCGAAACAGGCTCCAGGCTCTGAGCTGGCAGTCAGCACAGAGCCCAACGCGGGGCTCGAACCCACGAACCGTGAGATCATGACCCAAGAGAAAGTCGGACGCTTAACCGACTAAGCCACCCAGGCGCCCCACACACAATTTATTTTAAGGAACTGGTTCATGTGAATGGGGTTTAGCAAGTCCAAAATCCATAGACAAGTCAGCAAGCTGAAGATTCCTTTAAAGTTGATTTTACAGTTTTGAGTCTAAAGGCTAGAAACTCAGAAAGAATTTCTATGCTGTTATCTTGAATTCCTTCTTCCTTAGGAAACCAATTCTTTTCCTCTTCTGCCCTTCAACTAATTGGATAAGGCCCACTTACATTATCAACCTGAAAGTCAACTGACTATAGGTGTGAATCACATCAAAAAACTACCTACTCAGCAGCATGGAGACTGGTGTTTGACTAAACCATAGCTTAGCTAAGTTGACACATAAAATGACCATTATTTTATCTAAATGACCATAGTGGTGGACCCAATGTAGGCATGTTTCTCATGTTGCCCTTTCTCCTTTCCTTTTTAGACACCTTAACTGTCTGAAATCAACTCCACGCTGTCTTTACAATGTGAGTTCCAAAGATCGTGTCTGTGCCATTCACAGTCTATACGTGCCCAGACCAAACAATACCTGATGTGTTCAAAAAAAAAAAAAAAAGGAAGAAATGAATCCCAGGGCAAAAGAAAGAGGAAATTGGCATGAAAACAAAAGACAAGAAGGACATAAAGGCGGGTGGGCAGGCATCCTGCCGCATGTCGGCTGCGACACCTAGTATGTGATGAGGATTTTTGAGTCTTCCGTTGACAATGGTGCCAGACAACCCAGGCCTGGAGGGAGCACAGGTAGCTGTGAATCTATTTCCCTCATATTCTTGGAATTGGGGTGTGGGGTTCACAGGACCTAGGGGCCATAGAGGATATAGGTTGAAAGGAGGTGACTGCCAGACTCAGGGCTTTTCCCATGATGACCTCATTTAGAGCCAGAAAATGGATCCCACCCTCGATAGACCTAGAGGTACCAGTGGTGTTATTAATCAGAAGAGAGATCCAGGGGCGCCTGGGTGGCTTAGTCGGTTAAGCGTCCGACTTTCGCTTGGGTCATGATCTCGCGGTTCGTGGGTTCGAGCCCCGCGTCGGGCTCTGTGCTG